TCATTGGATTGTGAGCCAGCTCTTGTCCCCAAAGGCCACACCACACCTTCAAACCCCACCCGTGACAGAGGACCACCCTCGCCTCAACCACCTCTTCATGGCTGACTCACCTAAAATGGATTGCAGTGCACTGGTCACTAGAGGAGAAGTGATATCAATCAGGGGGGTGGGCTGCCAGGGAGGAGGGGGGAAGGAAAGGGGTCTGGGACAGGGACAGGACGGGAACCTCAATGAGGATGAAGTGTTGAAGAGTAGCAGGGCAGAGGTACTACACTACACAGCCTCATGCACAGAAGACACGCACTCTTCCCACAGCTCTGTACTCAGCTAGCAGCGGCCATTTCCACTGGGCTAAAGGCCCTCTAGGCATTTGCCTCAAAGGAAGTAAAAAACACAAATCTTGGGTCCTAGGCATGGTAGTACCAGGGGGATTCCAAGTGAGAGGACACCCAAAGCAGGGCCAGGGCCCTAGTACATTCCATTTCAAACCCCTTTCCCAAATTGCCACTTGAAGAACCCTTTGAAGTCTCTGGGAGAAGTGGGTGTTTGCTTAAGTAAGAGGCTCTGAGCATCCTTGTCAGAGACCAAGGTGAGAGGCTTTGACTGGAGTTGCTGCCCACTGCTAGGTAACAGCCGCCAAGAGGGACTACAAAAACCTTGAGACTAGCATCTCAGCTTAGCTTACTCCCTCCCCTCCTAGACTTCCTCAGAGTCACAGTTCTGCTAGATTTTATTTGTCTGAGGTCATGAAGTCAGGGACAAAAGATTTGGAGTAATAGGGTCAAAAGCCTCAGAAGTGGGCAAGCTAAAGGAATGGGTACAAAGTGGGTGGGGTGGGAAGGATGGGACTCTGTTACCTGCACTGTGAATGGATTCATCTCCTTGGAATGGACATTCACTCAGGGCTCCTACCCGTGCCATGGATCCACCTATAATAATTTTCATCGACTCCACAAAGCCCTAGGGGGCAGCAAGTAGGGTGGGAGGGTCTAGCAGCTTGTCTCCTGGTGCTACAAACCATTTTCCCAAACCAGAGGCTCCTTCCTCTCACCTGCATCCTCAGATACGCCTTCTGTCCAGTTCTAATCTCCAGGCCACTGACCTCCGCTGGAGGGATTGGGGCCAGTGCTGGAAGACCAGCATGTTGGTCACCTAGTTTACAGTCCACATACAGCTGCAGGCCAGGGCTGGGTCGAGATGGTCCTCGGAGCCGCAGGAGAGCAGTGTGTGTGCGCCCATCAGCCAGGCCTGCTTGCTGTAGGTTCACTGCGTGGACTTTGCCATCTTCCCGCTGGTACCGCACCAGTACTGCCCAGGAGTGGAGGTCAGTATAGGCACTAGCCTCCATCCCATGCCCGATTGACTTGAACCATTTATAGATACTACTTCCCCCACCTGCTGGGCATCTATCTCTGGTGTTTTTTTTTTTGTTGTTTTTTGTTTTTTTTGTTTTTTTGATACAGGGTTTCTTTGTATAGTCCTGGAATTTACGCTATACACCAGACTGGGCTTGGACTCAGAGATCTGCCTGCCTCCTGAGTGCTAGGACTAAAGGTGTGCACCACCACAGCTCAGCTAGATTCTCTCTCTCTCTCTCTCTCTCTCTCTCTCTCTCTCTCTCTCTCTCTAGGCAGAAATTAGTTTTTTCAATTTTTTTTTTTGTTGTTTTTTGTTTTTTTTGTTTTTTTGATACAGGGTTTCTTTGTATAGTCCTGGAATTTACGCTATACACCAGACTGGGCTTGGACTCAGAGATCTGCCTGCCTCCTGAGTGCTAGGACTAAAGGTGTGCACCACCACAGCTCAGCTAGATTCTCTCTCTCTCTCTCTCTCTCTCTCTCTCTCTCTCTCTCTCTCTCTCTTTCTCTCTCTCTCTCTCTCTCCCCCTTGAGACAGGGTTTCTCTGTGTAATATGGCTGTCCGGGAACTTGCTTTACAGACCAGGCTGCCTCCTAAGTGCTGGAATTAACCGTGTGCACCACCCGCTGGCTGATAGCACCTCTCTTAAGGCTAATCCTAATTTGTATATGTATCTCTTGACACCTTGTATGTAACAGGTGTACAATAAACAGTTCTCAAATTGGCCTCAGATGAGGGCTCATTGTGTCAGATGACGATCCCCTCCCAAGGTGGCAGAGCTCTGCCCACTAAACTTTAGTAAAAATCTGAGTGGCTCTTCTACTGTTGGGACACAGAGATGCCTCACCCTCCCTCTGAGCATCCCAGCATACAACCTGCCACCCATCCCTATAAATACCAGGCCTTACCCAGCTGTCTGGGTACCTCCATACATAGGTATCCCTACTAAAAGCCAAGGAGAATAAAGAGGCACCTGGGAGGGGGATAAGGGAGACAGCTCAAGGGGTCATTGACTCAGGAGAGGACATGCCCACAAGTCACCTTTGTTGATCTTGCCCACAACGGAGGCCTCTAGCCATCGTGTGTTGTCTTGCCGAGAGTAGAGACCAAAGAGGACGCCACCTTGCTTTGGGGGGAGGCGGAATGTGGATAAGAGGTAGATGTCCCCAGCAGTGAGTAAAGCTGTCCGGATCTTCTCTGCCACAGCTACCATCTGCCGGGACTCGCCCACTGTCAGCAGGTCAATTACTGGCCAGGTAGGGATTATTAAAGTCAGAGAAAGGAGCTCTCAGAGGTGAGCATCCCAAATTATCCTTCACTTGCCTCTGGACAGCATAAATTGCCTTCTCAAAACTCACTAGGGATGGTGGTACATGCCTGTTTTCTCAGGCTGAGATGACTGTCTCAAGCTAGCAGCCAGCCTCAGCTACACAATCCAGGCTACAAGACTCCATCTATAAAATCAAAAACCTCAGCCCTTTTTGTGAACAGGGAACAGAGGCAATTCTTCCCTCTCAGCACCTTCTGCGGCTTCCAAAGCCTTGGGAACCTAATAGGCTTGGAGCCCACTTAGAAATACCAAAGCCACCTCACAAACTTCTTATGTCCCACCAGGTGGCGCAAGGGAGACACTGCTGATGAGAACCTGGAGTGGCACCTGGTGCCCACAGCCCAGAAACCAGAGGTAGCTTCTCTCCGCTGCTGGGTTTAGCTCACTTCAAACCCTGGTGCCATTCCTCCCATCCTAGGGGCTCATCACATATGTCTAGATAAGAACATCTGTCCACAAAGGATTCTGACCCTCCCACCACTGTTTAGCCGCCACCCCCCACCTCCCCCGGGAATGTAGGACCCAGAGCCTCTTCCTCTGTCTCCTGTGTCCTAGCCAATCTGTGGTTTCCCCTCCAGCCAGTAAAGAATCTCTGCCTGTGTCATCTGCTCCAACTACCTCTCCTACACCACCCATGGGCCCATCCCACCACCAGACCTCCGGGAGAGCTCAAGCCGCTCAACCCCCACCCCCACCCTATCTTTTAGTAGCCAAGAGCCAGGATAAAGGAGGGACCAAGCCCAGGGTCCCACATAGTGCAACCATCATCAATCAATCAGGCTGCTTTCCCAGACTGCCCCGCTGATACACTGACACAAACTCAGTCATGCAGTCCTGAGTCCATCCTGGTCTCAGTGCCTGACTCTGGGCCAGTCTGTACTCACCCACCGCTCCAGTGCCCACTCCTCCCACGTTATCACCCACACATCACTCTTCCGAGTGTAACTTTTCTCTTAACCCAATTTCAGGACTCCTCCCTCTCTCCTCAAACTCACATGTGGTCTGTTATTTGGTTGGGGGCAAGAAACGAGACAAAAAGGTGTCAAAGAGGATGGATGCAGGCTTACCCTGAAGGTCCTGACTGGCACATGCGTAAGAGCAAAGGAGGAGAAGAGCCTGGGCCCCCCAAAGTTCCAGCTTCTCCATGCCGCTTAGCCGGTTCACTACCCCTGGCAGGCAGGAGACTGGGAGGGAAAAAGACTAGGCGGAGAGCAGGAGCTCGAGGGGGGCGGAGGGACTGAGGAGCGAGCTGGGGGGGGGGGGGAGCAGGCGGGGGAGGGGGGGGGGGGGGGGGGGGGGGGGGGGGGCAGCAGGCGGGGAAGGGGGGGCTGAAACAAAGAGCTGCCAATAGCCTTGGAGGTATCACCAGCTCCAGGAACCAGGAGTACTGGGAAAGAGTTCTAGTCTTCCTGGCCTCCTGCTCCTCCATAGTGGTCCTCGCCTCCCCTTACCTTGACATCTGGTTTGGGGGGGGGGGGCTTTCAACCCTAAAGCGCTACCAAATGCTACTGTTCTCTGGAGGCCGCGGCTGGAGAAGGCAGAAACCCCTGCCATGGGATTTCTAGGCAGTTTTGACGGAAAAGCAAGGGACTTGGCCAAAACTGGCTTGCTAAAGTACCTGGAGGATGCTTACTGCTGTGGCGTGGCAAATACTTTTATTACGGTGTGTTGGGTCCCTGACATGTGCCCACCCCTCCATTTTCTCTCGTTCTTGGGAAAAATGGAAGTCTGGAAGCGTCCGACAGCAACTGGACGATGAGTCTGAACTGGTCAGTGAGGTCGACATGCAGAAATCAGCAAAGGGGAAAAAACATCACCAGAGGCTGGAGCAGAAAGCTGGGGGCCAGGGTCGGGGACGGGACTGGTGGGCACTGGGGACCCCGGGAAGGCCCGGTCCGGGATGAACCCGAGGGGAGCTTCGGGGAGAACCAGGAGGAGTTCCCGTTTGGGA